GGGAAGGTGGTATAAGTGCCTTCCCCGGCACTACAGACCGCCTGCGGTGGCCAGGAATGCAGCAGGGGTTGCTCCTGGGAGTGGAGCGCGGGGCAGTGGCAGGGAAAGAACACTCCCAGCCAAACGGGCACCACAATGACCCTTGGTTTTGTGTGTCTCTCTGCAGGTGGTGAAGGCCACCAACAGGGTGCTGCTCCGTAGAGTCGTCCGCCTCACCGACCTGGGATCGTATCATCCAGGGATACAGCGCCCTCAGCTTCCCCAACTGCAGGGGGGGCGGCAATCGATGGGACTCACATCCTCATCCGTGCCCCGGGCCACCAGGCCTCCCTCTTCATCAACAGGAAGGGGTACCTCTCGGTGATCCTGCAGGCCGTGTCTGACCATGGAACTGGCACAGATGAGAGAAATAGCCTAGTGCATATTAGGATAGCAGAAAATGAGGTGACAGATAAAGTAGCAAAAAATGCTGGAAAAATGGAGGGAAATGACAGAGAGATCTCTCAGTAAACAGGCATTTACAGGTATTCCACGAGGAGTAACGGTAGTTCGAACTAGGAAGCCTAGTTCGAACTACCTAGTTCGTGCCGCGTGTAGCCGCGCTACACGGGGTTCGAACGAGCGGAGATTTTAAAATGGTGGCGCCCCGCTTATGCAAATGAAGCCCGGGAAATTCAAATCCCGGGCTTCATTTGCAACTCCGGTTGCCTACATTACCACCCTAGTTCGAACGAGGGGGGTAATTGCAGGAAGCTGGCTATAAGCCAACAGTTTGCCCTTGTAGCCAGGAAGGCTAATGGAATATTGGAGTGCATTTGGATGAGCATTGCCAGCAGATCTAGAGAAGGGATTATTCCTGTTTATTCATCACTGGTAAGGTCACACCTGGAATATTGCATACCCCCTTACAAAATGGATGTGGATTCATTTAAAAGAGTCCCATGGAGGGCAACACAAATGATTAGGAGGCTGAAGCACATGACCTACGAAGAAAGGTTGAGGCTATATTTACACAACAGAGGTTTTTTTGGAAAAATGGTCATTTTTCCGAAAAAACTTCAATTACATCCACACTGCAATCGCGTTCTTTTGAAAGAAAATCGAAAGAACAGAGGGGTTTTTCCAACATTGGTAAACCTCTTTCTATGTGGAAGAAGCCTTTTTCCGAAAGAGCTCTTTTGGAAAAAGGTGTGTGTGGACGGAGAAGACGGAGTTCTTTTGAAAGAAGAGGCAAGAGGGAAAAGAACAGGTGCCCTGGTGGCCACTCCATCCATAGTAATTGCAACTTAAATGTGAGATAGCATCCAATCAATGTGGATGCTATCTTTTGAAAAAGCAGATCATTTTTTCAATGCGCTTTTGCTGTGAAGACGCTCTCTTTCGGAAGAAGTTTTTTCAGAAGACTTCTCTTTTGCGCAAAACCCCCTGTAGTGTAGACATAGCCTGAGGGATGTGGGCTTATTTAGTCTACAAAAGAGAAGAGTGAGGGGGGATTTGATAGCAGTCTTTAACTACCTGAAGGGGGGAAGATTCCAAAGAAGAGGGATAGAGGCCGTTCTCAGTGGGGGCAGATGGCAGAACAAGGAGCAATGGTCTCAAGTTGCAGTGGGGGAGGTCTAGGTTGGATATTAGGAAAAACTATTTCCCTAGGAGGATGGGGAAGCACTGGAATGGGTTCCCTCAGGAGGGGGTGGAATCTCTGTCCCTAGAGGTTTTTAAGTCCTGGCTTGACAAAGCCCTGGCTGGGATGATTTAGTTGGGTTTGGTCCTGCTTTGAGCAGGGGGCTGGACTCAATGACTTTCTGAGGTCTCTACCAGCCCTGGGATTCTATGATACTATGAAAGGAGCAAAAGGAAAATTATTTCATGCAATATGCTCTAGAACTGGAATTGCTTCTGCTCTGCAAGAATCTGAGAGAAAGAGCAAGATAGCTGCACCCTGAATATTTTCAGGACACTATGACTTAAACAATAAATTGTCCTTAATTAATAAATACAAAGATATGGGCTGTGTGTGACATGCAAGGGCAAATAAATGGGAGATCACATTCTCTGGGAATGTAAAGTGTGTAGAATTGGTAGCAGTGTTTTATATTAGTCACTGAGGCACCTAAAAGTGACAAAGTTTACACTAAAATACCTAGTAAGAGCATCAAGAAATGAGGGAAGGAAAAAGTGAGCTGCTTTTTTAAAAAAAACTGTATAGTCTAGACACACTCTGAGTGCTGGCCAGCAATCCTCCTATCCATCACAAGGACAAAAAGAAATCTGATGAGGTTCAACAAGGAGAAATACAAAGTCCTGCACTTAGCCTGTCAGTCCCCAGCCTGTAAGCGGTGTTTGAGATTCTTCTGTGCTAAGTGGCACTTCTGCAGAGGAAGACCTATGGATTACAGTAGACAAGACGCTAGATATGAGTCAACTGTGTAATCTTCTTGGCAAGAAGGCTAACAGCATACTGAGCTGCATTAGTAGGAGCATTGCCAGCAGATGTGAGGAAGTGACTTTTATTGACATAGGTGTGGTCAGGAAGCAGGCTCTGAGTGTCACCATTTAACTGAGATGGCTTCTAGGTGGTGGAGCAGCAGGGTTAAGGCACGCTTACTCCTGCACTGGCCCTGCACCACTCTTGAAAGCAGATGGCATCTACAGCAATTGCTCCATGGTGGCATGTGCTGCCCCCCATCTATAGGCACTGAGCCCACAGCTTCTACTGGTCACAATTCCCTGTTATTGATCAGTGGGAGTGTCAGGAGTGGTGTCTGCAGGCAAGGACAGCATGTAGAGACCCCCCCGGTCTGTCTCTCTCAGGGGCTGCAGGGGCATACCAGCCACTTCCAGAGGGATAATTACTGCAGCCACATCTTAGAACTCACTACTCAAAGAATTACATTTAAGCATAAGAGAGAAATGAAAATTATGAAATGTACAGACCAGTCAAAAACCAAAACTAACCCACTTTGCAAGCAGTAAAAGAAGTAACAACAAAACCCCAGAAACGTGTTGGGTCGGGAGAGGAGAGGGAAGGACAGTGCGTGTTTGAGAGACTGACAGAGACACACACAGTATGTGAGAGTGACAGAGATTTGCTTTGCCAACCTCCCTCCAACCCCTTCTCTCTGTGTGGAGACGGGGTACAGAGTGGGGAAGGAGGGACACCCTGACACGAGCCCCTATCTTCTCCTTCCCACACCCTGCACAGCAAGCAGGAGGCTCCTAGGGGGCAGCTCTAAAGCAGAGGGCAGGAGCAGCATGACAGTGGGTGCAGGGTCAACTGAAGTGCCAGCGCTTGACAGCCTCTTGGCCAAACCAGTCGGGATCACCTGTCAGAGGCTCCAAGATCTACTGGTAGATCCCGATCCATGGTCGGTGACCACTGCATTAGCGAAAACGATTTCCCAAGGAGGGTGGAATGAGTTACCTAAGGAGGTGGTGGAATATTCATCCCTAGAGGTTTTTAAGGTGAGGCTTGAATAGGGTTGCCAGGTGTCCGGTATTCACCCAGAGAGTCCGGTATTTTTGGCTCCTGTCCAGTAAAAATATTCAGAGAATATCTGACACCTAAAATGTCCGGTATTTTCTGAATTTTTTCCCGGACAGGAGGTGAAAATTCCGGGCACCTGGCAACCCCACAAACACTCAAGTGCCCGGCCTCCCAACACCCCCAGACCTCCCCTGCTCCCAACACCCCAACCCCAGCCCCCATGCTTACCTGGTTCATAAGGCTGCTGGCACAAAGTGGCTGCCGGCCAAAAGACCTAGGGGAAGCAATTCTTCCCCTGGGTCTTAGTGCTCAACCGTTCCCCTGTTGCTATCCTTACACTTATAGGGGACATGCTGTTTTAATGCTGTTTCATTTAAAAAAAATATTGGGGGGCTTAATAAGTCCTTGGAGTCCTTTTTTTTTCTTTTGCTCAACAACTTTGGTTCCCCCCCCCATTTTGGTCCCCCCCTTCAACAGAATTTTTTCCCGGTGTTTTTTTTTGGGGGGGGGGGGGGGGTGTGCGGTATTTTTGTTTCAACCATCTTGAAAAAGCCCAGTCTGGGATGATTTAGCTGAGGTTGGTCCTGCTTTAAGCAGATGGTTGGATTAGATGATCCCCCCAGGTATCTTTCAACCTCAATTTTCTACAAGTTTGTTTCCCCATCTGCAAAATGGGGACAATTTTACTAATATACCAAAGTGCCACACAGGCTGGGGTGGGGAGGGCTATGATGGAGCAATGGGGAAGAAATGCGGTTGTGAGCCTGAATAAATATTTGGAGAGAATTTTGACATCCTGCTATTTAAGTATCAAAGAGAAGCACCACAGTATAAGGCATTTCTTTCAGGAAAGTGAAGAGTCTGTCTTTCTCCTCAAAATATTGGCAACAATAAGAACAACAACAAAAAAACCAACCCCCCCAACCTGAAAAAATCCCCTTGCACACAGCAACCCCAAGGCTCTGATCTCTCAAAAGTGTGGTTTGCTGGGTAATAACATGAAAGTCCTACAGGCTGGTGAAATTAAACTGGGTCTCCCTTAAGAGAGCTTGTCATGGCTCCTTCCCCACTCTGGCATGATAAATGCAGAAGTGGGGGCCAGCAAGTGTACCCCAAAGCTTTACCTACCAGGCTTTGATATAAAACTTCCCCCAAAATCTTAAAAACCTAGATCTTGGGAATAAAACTTCCGCTGCCACCACCCAAATGTTGCTAAAGAAACCAGGGGAAAGATCATTTGGGAAATCTTACCCTAAAATAAAAATCAGGGCACACACTTAACCACTTCCAGGTTAATAAAAAGAAAGGAAGGAACTTTTATTATTACCACAATATTCCTGTTGCAGGCATGATGACTAGATAGGACGGTAACAAAATATACTCATGGAGAAACTCCATGGGCCTAGAACTTAGTTACAAAGAAAAGCCAAAACATCTTTTAAACAGTGCCAGATCTCATACCCAACCTTTAAAACAATAACGCCTAACGAAACTACCTAAACTTTACCCTACTTACAGAAAATGGAGAATGAAGTCTTGGAGAGAGAGAGACATGCTTGTCCCTCTCTGTAGCTGCAGAGAACTCTCAGAGGGTATGTCTACACTACCCTCCTAGTTCGAACTAGGGGGGAGTGAGAACTGCACCGGGACACGCCATGGATCCGGCGCAATTCATGGAGTGGGTTAAGGAGACCCAAAGGCAAAACCAACAGCAGCAGTCAGCCTTAATCCAGCAGCTCACCACCCAGCAACAAGAGCAGCAAAAACAACTGATCCGGGAGGTAGCCGAGCAAATGAAGGCGCAACAGGAAGAGTGGATGAGACGATATCCACCGGCAATGGTGACCCCCCTGAGTCCAGCGTGCCCCGAAGAGGAGGGGCCAGCAGGAGAGGGGGAGGTGGTACGCCTGCCCATACGGCTAACTAAGATGGGGCCGGCTGACGATCCTGAGGCATACCTCGCCACCTTTGAGAGGGTGGCGACGGTAGCCCGGTGGCCAGAATCCCACTGGGGGTATGTCTACACTACCCCGCTAGTTCGAACTAGCGGGGTAGTGTAGACATACCCAGAGAGACAAAAGGGGAGAAAGGAAAAAAAACAAATTCCTTTGTCCCAGTTTGAAAAGTCCCACCTACATTCCTATTGGTCACTCCACCTGGCTAGGTGTAGTTAACCCCTTAATCTCCAGGCTGCTGTCTAATCCTCATAATCATGACAGAGCTCTTCACAGTGCAAACTGCAGCCAGCATGCTTGCCATGTGTATGCACAAAGACTGCCTAGTGCCTCCTCCAAACTCTTCTCTCCTGCAACCTGTGCTCCTCCCAGGTTCCATGCTGTATTGGATTTCATGTCTGGGGGACAGGGAACTGCAGCCAATGTGAGCTTCAGGGGTGGTGCCTGCAGGCCTCCTGGCCCCCCTCACAAGGCACGCAAGGACATGCCAGTTGCAGGCAGGGAGCCTGCCTTAGACCCTCATCATCACTGACAGGGAGCTGTCGGAGGTCAGCGCTGCCCTCCTGGAGTCTTCTCTCCCAGGTACCAACTCCCTGCCACAGCCCTGGGTTCTCTCTCAGAACAAACACCCACACCCTCTGCCCCAGCCCGGAACACCTCCAATACTCCAACCCCCAGTCTTGAGCCCTTCTAACACCCAGACTCCCTATCATAGCTTGCTCCCCCTCCTACACCTCAGCCTGGAATCCCCTTCCACACTCTGAACCCCTCAGCCCCAATCCCAGCCTGGTGAAGTGAGTGAGGGTGATGGAGAGTAAGCAAGGGAGAGACAGGGAATGGTGTGAGCAGGATGGGGCCTTAGAGAAGGGGCGGGGCCTTGGGGAAGAGGGTGGGGGAAGGGTATTTGGGTTTGTGTGATTAGACAGCTGGCAACTGAAGCCCAAATGGATCACTTTAGAAAAAACCCCTCCTGATTGTAAAGCCAGTCTCATGAGTTGTGAAGCCAGACTGGTGGGGTTTGAGTCGCTAAGGTAAGTAGTGCTGGGAGTCTCTCTCCTGAGTTCATTCCATCATATCTTGTAGAGAGGAAGAAACAGCACAGGAGGCATCCATTAACTATATGTTAGTTATTGTGTCATAAACTTACCCAGTGTCAGTGAATCTCACCTGGCAGCAAGTAAATTCAACATTTAGAAAAGATTTTTCCAATGGATGCATTCCTGAAAACTGATGGCAATAAAAGAGAAATATGGGCTGTCTGGGTCCCGATAACAGCAGCCTGTGCAATAATTATTGCTCACTCCCCCCCTGTGAATTAGGATTTGGTGTCAGGGAGGTGCACTTTCTGAAGTAATTTATCAGCATACAGATTTATGGACTCTGCAGCACTGCCACAGGCATTGTTTTCCCTTCCAGTTTACTAGATACACCTCTATTTAGATTTTGTCAAGATTAGGGCTGCTCAACACCTTTGCTAGGTAGAGGCAAGTGGTCTTGTTTCTCTGCAGAGCAGCTGAATACTGATTGCTAGAGGACAAAACCCAAACTCAACTTATTTTAGCGAGTTGAACTGCTTGTGCTGGGTCTCCGACGGCTTTGCAAAATTCATTCCCTGAAAGAGCAAATGGCGTTTGCTTGCCCTATAAAAGTTTAAGTGGGTGAAAAAGTCTGTGTTGAACTTCCAAGAGGAGCTACACAGAAGGAATGGTAAAGTCTGAGGCAAAGGGGGCTGCCCTGGGGGTTCTGCTTGCACAGGGGACTATTTCTACGTTATAATTTATAGCCCTGTCTTGAAGGCTGCATATGAGCTTCTCTGCAGACTAGACTTTCAGGGTGTGTCTAGACTACATGGCTCCGTTGACAGAGCCATACAGATGAGTTTACTAGACATAGGAAAATGAAGCGGCAATTTAAATAATCGCCGCTTCATTTACATCAAAATGGCCACCACGCTGTGCTGATCAGCTGTTTGGCGGCACAGCGGGGCAGTCTGGACGCACCATGGTCGACAAGAGAAGCCTTTGTCGACTGCTCCAGTAAACCTCATTTACCGGAGCGGTCGACAAAGCTTCCCTTGTCGACCATGGTGCTTCTAGACTGCCCCGCTGTGCTGCCAAAACGGCAAAGTGCAGCGGCCATTTTGATGTAAATGAAGCGGCGATTATTTAAATTGCCGCTTCATTTTCCTATGTCTAGTAAACTCATCTGTATGGCTCTGTCAACGGAGCTATGTAGTCTAGACAGACCCTCAGTAACAGAATGCATTGCAAAAAAGTTCCTCCCCCATCCCCATCTCTAGCACAAATACCAAGAAGCAAGTCCCCACCAGTTAACCTCAACTGGTAATATTAAGGGATGAGGCTTACCAGCTAATCAATGAAACATTCACATCCCTAGCAGATTGTTCGCTTCTCTTAGGCTGTCTCACTCTTTCTCCTGGGATTCCTTTCCTAAGTCACTCCTGCTATTCTCCCTTACTGGATGGAACTTTAAACCAGGAGCATAGCCAATAGTGAATCACATGTGTCTGAATAAATAATGGCTCCTTCAAGAATCTGTGACTCAGTATTTGTAGACTTTTCAGGAGCCCTCAGAGGTCTTCTGGATTCTTAAGAACCCCCAACAAGATGATCCCACAAAATCAGACAGTCTGAGCACGTGGTGTAATTTTCAGGGTTCCATTGTATGACTGTGTTCCAACTGACTCCAGCTAAGGATCAGGCCCTCTATTTGTCAATATGTTCACAAATCTGTTTGATCTTTAATTGACTAGCTGTGCTGACAATGCTGGGTCCAACTGTGAAGAAATGGTATCTGGTGCAACACCTAAGGAGGGCAGTAACCAGTGGTTATGAAACGAAACCCTGAAAAGTGACAGAAAAAGGAATAGCATTTTCAATGTCTTTGAAGAGCATTTTGCTGCAACCATTTTGCAATAGAAATGGAAGGAGTTGATGTAACTAGGAAAAAAAAGCAGCTCCCTGAAAGCATGGATACAAATCCCAGCTGTTCAGTAGGTGCGTAATACAGATTGTAGACTGCAGAACAAGCAAAAATCCTACCATCAAATTCTGCAGTGCCATTTCCTTCTCCATGCTTTTCACTTGTCTGCAAGGGTTGTGTGTGCAGTGGCAGGTGTGCAGGGTTATACTTTGGGCTCACTCTGGTGGCTGGGCTTGATGTGGGAGTGGCTGAGTGAGGTGTAGTGGACTGTATTAAACAGGAGATCAGATTAGAGTGACCTAGTGGCTTATTCTGGCCTTATGCTCTATGGCAGGGGAGGGCAAAAGGGCCTCTGTGCACCAGATCTGGCCTGCCAAGTGGGTGGATCGGGCCTGCATAAACCCTGCTGCTCCCCTGGCCCCCAGGCCAATTGGGGCTTGGGGGGGGGGGGGGGGGGGGGGGGCAGGGAGCAAGTGAAGCCTTCTCCGCTCTGCCCCTGCCCTGCAAACAGCGCGTGGCACTTCAAAGTGCCATGCATGGCTCTCAGAGAGGGGGCAGAGCAGAGAAGGCTTTGCTTGCTCCCCCACCCCCAGACCTTAATTGGCCTGGGGGTGGGGGAGCTTGCCAAGCCTCCTTCCATCCTGCCAGGAGCATGTGGTGCTTTGAAGCACCACGTGCTGCTCACAGGTTGGGAGGGGGGGGGAAGAGCAGAGGAAGCTTCGCATGCTCCCCCTCCCCCAGGCCAATCTTGGCCTGGGGGCAGGGGAGCTGCATGAAGCTTCCTTCACTCTGCCCCAGCCCTGCAAGGAGCCCGCGGAGCTTCAAAGTGCCATGTGATCCTCACAGGGCGGGAGGAGGCTTCCCGTGCTCCCCCGCCCCCAGACCCTGATTGGTCTCTTCCAGGGCATGGGTGCCTAGTGGGAAGGGGGGCAAAGAGGCTCCCTCACCCCCAGATCAATCATGGTCTGGTGGGGGTAGCTCCACCCCTTCCTGTTTAGGCCCTACCCCTTCCTGTTTAGGTCCCACCTCTTCCTCTTCAGGTCCCACCCCAAAAATTATTGCCCACCCTTGCTCTATGGCTCTGTCTAGACTGCAGACTTATATCAGAAAAAGATACACAAATTGTGAAACACAATTTGTGTATCTTTTTCTGCTTTTCTTCCTAAAG